GGCTCCCTGCACCCAGCCCCTCCCTGTCACTGGCACTGCTCAGGACATCCACACTTACTGTTTGAGTCTGTCTTTAAAAACTTAATCTATCTCTCATTTCCTTTATTGTTCTGGGTGAGTAATCCATAGCCATTTTTTACAGAACATTGCATTTTTCAACACTTTGTACAGATATTAATGAGCTGGTCTTCATGGCAGCCTAATTATTATTTTAGATGGGGGAAAGCCAAGGCTAACTTTAAATAACTTGCACCAGGTGTTTTGGCGAAGTGAGGTGGGATTAGGATTCATCTTCCAACTCTGGTGCTCAGTGGATGCCTGAGAGACTTAAGGCTTTGGCTCATGATCAGACAGCAGCCAGATGTGGAAGGAAAAGCTCCTCAGGGGCTCGGTGCACAATGGTGCATTGGTAGCACTTAGGCTGATCGCCTGTATTTGAGAATGATACTTTGCTGCCTGGAAGTGGCTTGTAAATCCCCTGCTTCAGTTTTCCCATCTGCAAAATGGGAAATTAGCAGGAGTTTTTGGCTGCAATATCTGTGAGTCACTCTGTAGATTTAAGGAGTAAGACTCAAGGGAGGAAGAAAAGGTAAGAAACAAACAGGTGATGCTGATGCTGATGGAACAGGTTGCCCAAAGAGGTTGTAGATGCCCCATCCCTGCAGGCACTCAAGGCCAGGTTGGATAGAGCCCTGGACAGCCTGAGTCGGTGAGGGGTTGGGGCTGGGTGGGCTTTGAGGTCCCTTCCAACCCAAACCATTCTGTGATTTTGTGATTCTATGCCAATACAGACGTAGGTTGCACCATGAAAGAACAAGAGTGACACTGCTCCAATTACCTGTTTCTTATTTTCTTCCCTTGGGGGAATCAGGGTGATGAGAATGATGTTAGCAACTGGATGGGCAAGAGACTGTAGCACTAATCTCTGCAAATAGGCAGCTTGGAAACAGCTGAAGTTAGTACAGTTAATGAAGTTCCCATGAGCAAATTATTCTCCAAGTGATGCTAGTACCCGGTGCCAACATCTATTTCTGCCTGGCAAAGGCAAACAAGTGAACACATACCGGGATCTCTGTGATTTTCAGAGTATATTAGAAAGGGCAAAACTTGCATAACTGCCATAAATTATAAAAGCCTCCTTCAATCCTGGTTAATTCTCTTGTAAAAAGGGAGGGAAAAAACTGAAGCAGCTCGGCATGAAAACAATAGTGGGAGGGATAATAAAGAGACAGCAGCAAGGTATCTCATTGCTAGCACTGGTATCATTAAGTGCACTAGAAACGTTGAGGTAAATGCATGGCAGTGAATCACAGTCAGGCATGATTAACCTTGGATAGTCTGAACTGGAGATCATTTATAAACACAAAGGTACTACGAACATTACAACAGACGGTACATCAAAAGTCATCCCAAGAGCGGGAGTTTTTTGGGGGTGCTTTGTGTATATGTGCCATTTTTAGGTTGTTGTCACAGTTTGTGTGTGGGAAGGTGGGTGATCTCAGACTTCCAGTGCAGTGGGGACTTGCTGTGGCACCACTGGACCCTCTGAAACACAGGAGCTTTGTTGGAATAATTTTTCCTTGCATGGATATGTTCTACAAGTAAAAGTTTCAAGTGCAGTGTTCTAAGGTTTAGTGAAAAGATCCTCAAAAAAACAGAAAGAGCACTCGGTCTCCATTCCTCTCCTCTTTAACATCCTCCTTAATCCTACAAGTGGTAAGGCTGGGGTAGACGGGAGTATTTTCATAAAAATTAGGTGTTTCTAATAACATTTGGTAGGTTTTCTAGCCACTGAAAACTGAAACTTCCATCACAAAGCCAAAAGAATGAAACTCTGCTGGATATTTCTGAACAGTCCTAAAAGTTTAGAAACATGCAGGGAAGCTGTAATCAGATGACCCATAGAGAGCTGTACATACTGAGTACAACAAAAAACACTTCAAATCCAGACCTCTGATGGCTTTAAAAACATTCTGTTACATGGACCATGAATCAGCTGGAGAAGACTCAAGACAGCTTAACACCTTTGTATTGTTTGCACCTTTTAGTGCCATCATGTAGTGCCAGTTCAGATGATTTCTGCGCATGCTGATGCAATGAGGGCCATAGCAGCACTGTGCAAAAGGAGCAAATACTCTGCCCAGATTCTGCTCTTCCTCCATGATTTTGCATAATTCTCACTCTCTTACATTAATCTCAGTTATCTCTAGCATTGTAATGGCTGTCCTTATTTATCTAACTAATTAGGATGTTGCATCAACTGATGTGAATCATCCGAAGTATACTGATTTCATACTGTATAAAATTGTTATCAGTGGAGAGGCAGGTCCCACCAGAGTCCATCCAGAGAGTTAATGCATACCTGAAAAAAGCTACACATTATGCTCTTTGGAACGATGCATTTCCTGTACCCAAACCCATTTGAACAGCACTGCACACATCTGTGCCCCAGATTTCCATGCCCTCAGAGGACACGAGCAGCACCTTCATCCTTTTTGCTCCAGAGCAACACCTGGTTTTGAGCCCCAGGAGCCCAGTGGGTCAGGTAGGAGGAATCCTTCAGAGGAGACCTGATGTAAATGCTCGGTTCACAAGCACCTCACCGCCTGATTCAGGAGGGCAATCAACCTGTCTTCTGAAGCTGCATAAATAATCTTTGGATGGTGGCAGTAAATCTACACCAAGGATGAATTAACTGCCACTGAGTCATATAAGCTTGGTTTGACTGTGTGGCTTGTAACATGCCTGAGGGAAATAAAAAAGACATTTGCAAGAAAGAAACATTAATTTGCTCCTCCCGATCTTTTCTGTTATTTTTATCTGGGCCAACATGCCTCGCTTTGTGTTTTTGCTTTTTATTTTTGGTTGCTGTTTGTTTCATTTTCACATGGAAACAATGATTCATGGTGAAATGAATCCACAGAGCATTCCTTCTGGCTCCCTGGAGTTTCTTCCAGCCAGCCCTGAAGGTGTCACCTCTCACTGTGGCTTCTCCTCAGCATCCCTCCTCCAGGACCCAGGGCATGGCCATGTGACAGAAAGACAGAGTCCTGCTGGTGTGGCCTCTCAGTGTGCACTTTGTGCACAGCTGTGTGCACTGCGGTAGTAAAAGTCATTGCTGCTTCTTAGAATTGCCCAAGGAACCAGTATCTACTGCAAGGTGGCCCTGGCATTAGCAACAAGGCAAAGATAAGCATTCTAAGTATTCTGCATGCAGTAGACAAGTGGATAGTTTCAGAAGGTCACGCTAATATATCTTACTGGGCAAGAACTTCCCACACTTAAACAGATTTTGAAGTCTGCTGTATTTAAATTGGCACTCTGTGTGTCACAGTGGACAGTCTCAAGCTGACACTGAGACAGATATTGGAGCACATCTCTAAACCCTGCTCACTGGCACCACAGCTGCCCAGAGAAGCTGTGGTGCCCCTTCCCTGGAGATGCTTAAGGCCAGGTTGGAATGGGGCTCTGGGCAGCCTGAGCTGGTGGGGGGCAGCCCTGCCCATGGCAGGGGTTGGGGCTGGGTGGGCTGTGAGGTCCCTTCCAACCCAATCCATTCTGTGATTCTATGATTCCATGCTCCTCTCTCTATTCTGGGCCCAAAGATGCTAGGGGGTTTCAAGTTGATAAAGGAGAAGAAAGGAAAGTTAAGAACATTCGTCATAAATAAAATACCACCAGACTAGCAAAACCACTGTGGAGGGTGGCTTATGGTTTACATATTGCTAAATATCAGCAAAATAAATGTGTTCATTTCTCCAAAATACCTCCAGATGGCATTAAAACCCTTCTTCTTTTGGTCTTTATTGCAATACTATTTTTAAAAATGATAATAATTGGAATCGTTCTATTAACCATTCCCAGCAATCATACTATCAGAAGGCATAAGGCTGCTAATGCTTAATTCATTTAATAAGTTTGGCTAAATAAGCTCACAGGCTGTAATTACATTCCACAACACAATCCACAGGACAAGCCATTTCTTACACCAAGTCAAATCTTTTTCTAGATTCATTTCCAGTAGGTTTTTAATGCGTATTTGCAGCAGAAATGAAAACATCCCACAATAAATCACTGTTATTGTACCTCCTTCTGTGACTACTTTTGACCATGTGACAAATGGTGACACCTTGTGAGATTTACATGATGTAACGCTCTGAATTTAAATAACAGGAATCAGGAAACATAAATTACGGACAAGATGCACTCTAAAATTCACATGACTGACTTGCAGGAACTTGGCTCTCACAAATGGGATTAAAAAGGTGACCGGTTTCGTGGAAATTCATACTGCTACTGCGTGGTAAATAATAGAGGAATTAACTTATCTAGCTCAGTTTGGAAGACTGTTGTTATTTATATATATATTTTAACTTGCAGCCCATCTGTTTTATAGACTGGTTTATGTTGGCAAAACAATTCTTTTCTTTGCATATTGGAGTTAAAAATGGGAAAAGCTTCTATTGTTGCACCAGAGTGAAGGTGAACACTGATATATTACAAGTGCCTGTTCCTATCTATTTCTCGACTTCTTTTGTTAATTCAAAAACATCAACAAAATCGTGAGAGACCAGAGATAACTGTAATTGGTTTTCAAGTAATTCAGAGGTGAAGCTGCAGACTGCAGTCTTTTAAAATTACATCAGTACATCAAAGGCATATGTGACATGACGTTTTTTTGCAAGTGTGACAAACTCCGGTAGCATTAAGGTAATGCTGAAGTCAGGTTGTAAAGGGCAGCCTCTCACACCCACAGAAATCATTTCATATCTGCTCAGCATGATAGGGAGCCATTTCACTCGTGAGGATCTTTGACTTGCCAGCATGCAAAAGTTCTAGGAATAATTAATGCTTAGTCATTATCTAAAAAGCCTTTCTAAGAACAGCATCAGTGAAAGAGCTTTATCTTAATGAAAACAAATGGACAAATTCAATATTGCCCAACCAGTCTGATAAAACATAGACGCCTTTTTCGGATCATAAAGGCAGAAGTGACTTACGATGTATGAGTTGTGCCTTTCTCTGGACTCTTTGGCTCTACATCACTTTTTCCTTTAAAAGAGAAGAAGAAAATGACATCAGAAATGGTAAATATGGAAACTGTTCAGATGCGATACGTCAAAGATTTACTCATTGCTACTCATTTACACCAATTGCTCTCATCACAAGCACAGAATGCTGCTGTGGCAACCATAATCCTGGGGCACTGCTGGAGTATTTACAAGCTGGGAGTTCTCCCCTACTTGACTTTTCTCTCCACTGGCACATGTACTCTGGCAATATTAGGCAAAGAAGCTTTAAAGGAGAGACTGCTTAGAGGACAGAAAGATTCAAGCAATTCAAATTTTACTACGGACAGGAGACCTTGGAGCCATGGAAAGATTTTCTCCAGGGCCCTACCGCTCTGCTATTGATATGCATTCTAGCCAACACACACATGCTCCCATGCCCTGCTCCAGGAACGTTATATTACACAGAACAGCATTAGAAGGAGCTGCAAAGACAGTGATTAGAACATGCATCTACAAATGAGAGGTGCTGTTTTGTGCAAGAAGGGGCTAACTTGGCTTACACACCCAACTTGAGGAGAAGTCAGGTGCTTGAATATTTGAGAAGTATCAGAAGCTTACGGGCTCCCTCTTTATGTTTCCTTATGACTCACACAGCTTGTGATAATCATCTTCCTGGGTCCAGGAACACCGACACCAGGAAAGCTGCTAGCTGATGGAATAATACTGTTCTGGTAGGTCAAGCCAAGACCTTTTTCCTCTTTCATCTCCTTTAAAAAGGAAGGTGGTTGTACTTTGCTACACTCATCAATCTGAGAAACCAGAGGGAGTTAACACCTCAGTGTAAGATTTTTCTTTAGGTCTAACTTGGGTAAACAGGGTAGACTGATCCATTTCAATCACCTTGAACTTGAATTCTAGACCTCAGAATTGCAGCTGCTGTTTCCCTTGTGTATTGTCTACATACAGGTTTATGTGTCCTAGCAGGCAAAGAGGCGCAGAGGTTGAGTGTGACTGGCTTACTGATGGATGTGTTTTCCTCCACTACCTTTTAACGAGCTTCATTAAACCAAAATCCACCTGTGTCTTCTGAAAAAAATGTGAGAAGTGCTTGTTTTCTTCAGGCTGTTCCAGCATTCCCTTGTCACTGACTTGAGCTGAGTGGGTTATAGACCAGCCCCTAACCCATTCTATATGAGCACTATGTATCACCCACTCATTGCTGCCAAAGTCTTCACACAGTTTTTGTATAGCATTGAAGTGTCAGTAATAGCTATAAGGGATGCCTCTTGAAAACTCACTGTTGCCTTCAGAAGTGGCAGAGTTTTGCCACCAATGTCCTTCCACTGTTGTGCAGAAATCATCTAAATCACTTAATCTAGATGGTGACCTTCTGAAAGTAGGGGTCTAATAAAAGGAAGTTCTGGGTAATGGAAACACTTTGCTGTCGGGCTTGCATCTCATCCCCTCCTGTGGAAGAGTTTGTCTGTACCTTTTTTGTTCTTAAACTTTACTGAAAAGGCTGTGGAAAGATCTGGTTGTCTTTAGAAACACCACTGTCTCTCTGAGCCCTAGCTTAAGGCACCTAAAATATAGACGTAAACTAGGCAGCCACACAAGATATAATACATCCAGTTCATAATCTCTAGGACACTTTTCACTTTTAACAGACTTCAGAAAACATATCCAGTTGATGAACCTGCTGGCTAGAAAGCTGTTGCTACAGTGTACATTTGTCAGCCTGGAGTCCTGGAGCTCATCTGTGTTATGGTAATTTGGAACAAGAAACCAACAGTAACAGTTGGTATGTATTCAAAGATTTTCTATTTGTAACTTTGATTTTTTTTAATAAATGATGAATTCTTACCATGAACACACTGGTTTGTTTAAGTGTGAGGGGGCATATGGATTCCTGAGTGCTTTGCCAGCAGAGTTCAAATAAGTTCTTCTTTCAGCAATGTGTGTTAATGTAGAGAGGGAAACAGCACAAGTACTGTGAGGACTGAGTGAAAAGGGAATCTCTGTGATTAGGCAAACTGGATATTAATGAATTACCCTACAGTAAGCATTTGCAGCTGCTTTAATGCTAATTGTCACTTAACATACTTCTTTGCGGAGGGGGAGGATGAAGCTTTTGAGGATGCTAGAGGATGCATCACTCCAGCCTATCAGAGTAGAAAATCTGGTCATTAATGCTTTATCAGTTAGTACCAACTTTGTTCACACTTGACTGAGTAACAGAAATATGAGAAATGTGTATAGACTAAGCATAGCTGAATGTCATAGATATGGTACTGATAAGCTACTGGAAAAGCCTATGTAAAAGGGAATTATCTGTCAGAGCAACTTGGTTTTTTTTCACACTCACTCTTGGCTAGACCAAGAATTGTATCTCCATTTTTCATGTAACCTGACAAATGCATGCAAGCACCACTGTGTGAGCACCACTGAGCGTTTGCTGAGCTAAATCCACTCTAGCTCTGGTTTGTTTTAATGGGCAAATTTGTGGGGTCTTCAGTTTTTCTTAGTCCAGTGGAATTAACAAAGGATATGCTACCTACCTCACCTCTTTTACAGGGCTGCTGTTAGCACACTTCAGCTGCTATCCCTGTATATGTTTTCTGAAATGAGTGTGGAAATGTGCATGTGTCATCTTATCATTGAATTTCTACTACATCTTATCCTAGAATCATAGAATCAGTAAGGTTGGAAAAGATCACTAAGATCATACAGTCTAACCATCAACCCATGACCACCATGCCCACTAATCATGTCCATCAGTATCACATCTACACGATTCTTGAATACCTCCACTACCTCCCTGGGCAGACTGTTCCTAACATTTAAGAAAAGAAAATCAGGATGAGATAGGCTCACACAACTCATTTCCTAATTGTTTTAAATACAACCAGATGGGATACGTGCAATTCTCCCCCATTTCAAAATAAAATTCAAGTGGAATTTTGTAGGATTTCCCTGCTGAATAGTGGAAGGAATTTGGGTGAATCACTCAACCTAACCATTATAAATTATCCTCTCTGGATAACAGGGATAAATAATACTTATTTTAACAGAGCAGAATAACTTCATCCATTAGGGGTTTTAAAATGCTTTCATTTCCTTGTGGGGGAAGGATGAGAGAAATGCAAATGAAAAAGACAATCTTAACAGTTGAAGTAAAAACACTGCAAATGCCAGATTCAAGAGCCACTCCACAGAAGACATGGTGCAATGGGGAATACCAACTAACTGAGACTTTGAAGATGTGCATTTGGATAATGCAGTATATAGACCATTAGATTTCTTTCCCATACGGAGCCATTTGCTAGCATTGCCTCACATCCAGATCCTTTTTACCTGAATTTCCTTTGGGTTTGTTGTACATGACCGATAAGTTCTGTCTCTTTTCTACCTAACTGTGCTTTTTTATTTTCATATCCTGACAAGAATCCTCATGGATACATATCTCAAAGGTAGTTAAATTCCTCCAAAATCTTAGGAGTTGTGACTTGATGTCAGACAGCAACCGTAACATTCAATACCAATGGAGGAAGTGTTTCTGCATGGGCTCAGCCATTCTTTGGTGTAGTTGCCACTACAGCCAACCAGGACCAAGTGCAGTTCCAACCCTGTGGCAGACATACACTGATTTTGCTGAGCAAGATCAATGAGGAGATAAGAAGAAACTGGAGATGCGAAGGTGTGGGATTGCTGATGGGGGAACTGGCAGTGAAATGAGGTGAAATGAGCAGAGGAAAGATGTAAAGAGGCAGAACCGCTTTTTTAATTCATAGGAGAGCAGGTTTCATTAGATCTGCAGAACAACTTATTTTATCAAAGTGCTGCAAGAAGGAAATAAATGAAATGGAACTAGGATCGAAGCTATCCAAACGCCGCAGCCTCTGATGTCATGGTGAAGCCCACAGCTCAGCTTGTGTGTTTGTCATGCCCACAACTCTTTGCATGTTTGCATAGCCCTCTCTATTATGGCCCCTTTGTGCTTCCTTCTCTCATTACTGCATTCATTATTTTCTGACAGAACCTCATCCCCTTTGCCTGTTATTATTTCCTTATTGCTGGTCCTCACAGCAATATCAAACTGATGCTGGCAATTAAGTGACACCACTGCATGTTTCTTCACAACATCAACTTCTGCCTGCCGACCTTTCCCTGGCAAAGAGCTGCACAGTTTTAATAGCCTACGTCTCCCAGGCTTGTCTTGCTGGATGTATTCTCCCTCACGCAGCGGGTGACCAGACACTTTCAAAGCCCTTCCTACCAGCTCAGGGCATTTTTCATCTTCAGTCACAGCCTTGTAATTTGCAAACAGGGCTCTGTGCTGGCTGTCAGGTCAGGAAACTAACAAAATAGTTCTTCTGGTTGAGATGATTTTATGTTGAGAGCAGGGTAGGATCATGTATTTTTAATATGCAAGACAACATTAACAACAGTCAGAGGTGTCAGGGGAGAGGATTAATACTTTGCTTTATGGAACAATTCAATCTTTCTTTTCAATCCAGCTGCTCAGTTGTTTGTTTGTTGTTTTTTATTTGTTTTTGTTTTTCTAGCTAGAAAAGACCTACTGCCATATGGTCTTTGAGGCATCATTTGGTATCACACTGGCACGATTTGTGTATCTATTCACAGTGCAATAGTCACAAAATATACCATTGCCTATAAAACATAAGTGATCATTTTTTCTGCAGTCTGGATTTGGCAGTGCCCTTTCCCAAACAACTGGTTCAGCTCTTTTCTGGCATTTCAGAAAAGCCATTCTTTTGCTATTTCAGTCTTTTCCATCAACATAATGAAATAGCCATGGGTTAGTGGTCATGGTGGTGATGGGTTGATGATTGGACTAGATGATCTTAGTGGTCTCTTCCAACCTTAATGATTCTATGATTCTATAAGTGAATCTTTCTTCTTTTTCTCTTTTTTTCTTTTTCTTTTCTTTTTTCTTCCCAGTCTGCCAAAGATCTGGTGTTTGAATAATTGCTCTTGAATTCAGATCCTAATATTTGGCTAAAAATGAGTACTGGTTGCTCAGGCTCTGCACTGTACCAGTCTACTACTGTTTTCTTACAGTCATTGTCATTCCCTCTACCCAGTGCAGTCATAAATGAGTTGGTACTTACTTGTATTGCTGTGTCCTGTAGATCCCTGTTGTGACTCCTGCAATAATAATAGAAAAAAAAGTGTATTATTTTTATGGCAATCTTTAGCTGCAATACTTGCTTGAACATTACCTTAATAATACAAACAGCACCGTTAATTGATCATTCTGTTTAAAAGTCATTTTCAATTACAAGAATAAATCCAATATTGTTTTGAAAATGCTTTAATCAGAAGGCTTGAAAACTTATTTCACAACAATCCTCTAATGGCACAATTCCTTGTACAGCTATTGCCAGTCTCCTGCTTACTGTTCATTTATTGATCAACCCAAACTCATCTATTATTTTCTACAAGTTTAGATGAGAAGACAGAGAGAAGACTACTACTGTTTCATGGGCCATTGTATTCCTGAAGTAGTAGCACAGCTGATCTTTGCTTCTTACATGCTGATATTGGCAGCACTGGAGAATGGAAATACACACTTTACTTCTGGATCCCTGAGATTCCAAGGTCAACCTTGTATCACAACTGTAATATTTATGAATACGGTACAATAAATTAGACTGTTTCTTTGTCACATGTAAATGTTCAAATATTTTAATCACAGAATTTGTTTAAATTCATAAAAGTCCGACAGAAACATATAGGTACAATGACAATAGTAATAGAATCTACAATGAAAATATATTTAAATTGAGGAAAAAATAAGAATACAAGGAGAAGAAGCAAAGAAATCTATTCATTCATCTGAAAAAAAAAAAAAAAGAACAGTTTTGTAGGTAATGGTATATGAGAATGACATAAAAATTCAAAAATTCTATGAAGCAAACACCTGGCCTTCAACTATATCTGATGTCTCTCAATTTGATCTCTGCTGACCAACACAATTTTCATTATATTCTATTTTTACTTCAGCAGATATATTGGGTGCTCTGCTAAGTTCTTTGAATACTTTTTGAGAACATGTTGCTGGTAAACAGCCTTTCATTAAAACTTCTGAGTCAGTTGTTTAAATTTGCTTCATTTTAAATAGTTCTCTACCAGGAGAGGCAACTCTTACATATGAAAACCTTGGGCCCCTAGCCTTGTGTTGGTGGTCACATTACTGTTTATTATTTTATATTTTTGTAAGCTGCTCCCCACTCTGCCACTAATTGAGACCTTAGCTACCACAAAATCAGCCCAGAATAAGCTGTTTGAAAACAACCTCATGTGCATGCCACAATTACAACAGTAAAGACTGTTTTGACAGGCATCTGCAGCATTCATTCTTGGTGAGGAATGGAACCCTCAACAAGATCTGTCATCCACAGCAGGCAAGTGATGGGCCAGACACACAGCCAGAAAACAGGAGGCTCTCAATTATCCACTAGACAAAGCTGGTATCCGTCTCTGCTACGCTTTGAAGAAGCAAAGCAGTTGAGAAACTTGTAGGTTTGCTACAGCTTGGAACCCGGACTTCAGACCTCTTAAATTTTAGAAAATAAATAAATAAATGAATGAATCCAAACTCGTGAGCATCCTTAAAATATATCACTTTTTGACTCTTTATCCAACTTCTGTCTGTTTTCAACCTCCTTTCTTGTTCACTAGGCATCAGATAGATACCTCCCATAGAAAACTCCCTGGTAGAGATCTGAGAAAAGGAACTGCAAGTGTCCAGAGAAATTAAGAATAAGCTGACTTGATTAAGCTAAAATTTTGCTGTGGATCCTGTAGAAATGTGGTTTAGGGGCTGCGGGACCAGAGTGTTCGGCACCTCCAAATGAAGGTTGGCTGAACGGAGGACTGTGAGGTCTTTGGGGCTTGGCTGGTCAAATACCCTCCAGCTGCACTGTTTGCTTTGGAATGAAGACTCTCTGGATTACATGGCCTTAATATGTACAGATTCTATGGTGTAACACACATCTGCAGTTCAGTGACACCATATGCACCTGACATGGGAGAAATCAGATTTTGAGACAAGTATTAGGAGTTCCTTCCCTCATCTACAGTTAAAAAAATATCTGTACCAGGTTTCATATGCTAACAATAATTTTTCAATAATTTGAAATTTCCAACTTTTGACAAATTACTTCAGCATTTTATGAATGCTTCTGATGAAGGAATATTAAAGCCTTTTTTTTTTTCCCAATTGGCTGAATATAATCGTAAGATGTCAGAGGCAGTTCACAGTGATAATGTGATGATACACATACTTGAATTTAAATGTTGTTCTAGCAGCCAACCAGGCTGCCAATAAAAGTAGGCTCTTGGAGCACATTCAGTTTCTAGAGTAGTGAAGTTTTGTAACTACACATTGGGAAACTACATATTTTCTGTTTTGGGGAAGAATTATTTGATGGAGATATCCTTGAGTTTGTAAGATTATTTGAAACTGCTAAGCAAGGAAATTGTTCACTCTTTTACATTTTCATCAACTTCAGAAAGAATGCACTCTCCCCTTTTAATTATCTAGCATGGTATCTTTCCTCTGCCATTGACTCTGCTTTGTATCAAATTTCGCATCAGCAAAACATAGGAGTTACAACATTTTCACATCTCCTTTTAACTGATTCTTTAAAAGATGTGCCTTCATTTTCAGCAAATTATTCTATATAAAAAGGCTAATAGAAATAGTGCTATGATATAAAGAATATCCTTACCGACGTAGGAAAAATAATGCTTTGTGTAACTTAAAAAGAAGAGGTTAAGTCCCCACTTCTGGAGTTTTTTCTTTTTTTTTTTTTTCTAATGCATTTACTTTATCTTGTTAAAATCAACAAGAAAGGAAACAGTAAATGAGTTGGGCACTGAAAAGACAAAATTATTATTATAATTTAGCTTCTGAGAATAATCAATCCATAGTTTTGTGACAAGATAGCAATTTTCCTGGAGTGGATAAATTTAATTCTCAAGTAACAAAGTGATGGCTGATCCTATAATATCACACACACATAAATAGAAATCAAACACCTGATCGAACTTTCAAGACATGAAATCACAGTAAAAATGAAAAAAGAGAGCAAAGGCGGCAGCAGAATTAATGGCATTTTTTCCCTCATGCTGGAATAGAGAATTAATGTTTGAACATGAAAGCTCATTCACACAAGCATCAAGTGAGCTCTTATTTACCAAATTTAATTATTCATTTAAAGTTTATTTATTAAGATGTTTTAATAAAATTACAATCAAATAATGCCTAGTCATTTGTTCAGAACAAAGTGTGACAGAGATAGGAGAGAGGAAAGCACATGCAGGCTGTCACATCACACACTGATCCAATTATCCTTAAGCTTTGAAAAACAAGGAGTAAAGAGACAATCACTGCTCCTTCCTACTAAATTCAAGAACACAAATTCAAGAACAAACAGAGAAACAAAATTCCAAGTTAGCAACGAAATGCAACTTCATGCCCTCTATTACATAAAGAACAGTTCCCTACATGCGCTCACCCAGCAGCACTGTGCTGAAAAACTTACTGGGCAGTAGCCAACACTTCAAACTTGACACTGGTTTTCCTTTCATTCCTGTGGATTAATGCAGACCTCCAGCATTAGTGAGGTCTGATTTTGCATACACGTATAGCATATGCACATACACCCTCCCATCTGCAGAGCATATAGAGTTGTATGGCTTCATATCCACATGCACAGTTTCAAAAATGCAATCCTATCGTATTTGTGACATAGAAAACTCAGTTATTAGTTTTTATTTACTAGACAGATTTCAAAATGAGTCCAGCTATAGTTCTTGTGGCCTTTGCAATTTTAATAGCCTAATTAATAAATTTCAAGTTTCAGGCTGTCAGATCACTGATTACTTGAGTCGTAGGTGAAAAGTAATTTGGTAGATACAGAGACTAATGATGCTGGCACTCATTTCTTATAGACAGAAAAGTAAGAATGATTTGCATCCTTGCAGAAAGGAAGGAGTCTTACAAGATTCTCATTCCCAAGACAGTAAATATCTTTATATCTGGAAACATTTTCTATTAAAGGATTGTAGTCTATTTACTCCTACAGAGTAAATCTGGAAGATGCTTTGCAAATGATCTGAATTGATGTCTCAACACTTCCATAAAGTCTGGAAATGTATTCACAGTACCATTCACTCCATGGAGACGGAGAGATGGAGAGAAGGAGCCAATGCCCTGAATTTAGCTTTTTAGCCTCTTTGCTGTCCTTGGCCACCGCTTGACTGACAGGACTATCTTTCTGAGTAATGTGCCACTCACACGGCATAGTGTGTGGTCATAGTGTAGTTCTTAGGTTTCAACTGGGAATAGCTATGTAGCTCATCTGTAGGAAAGCTTCCTAGGAGTTATGGAGCTATCTCGTATGAGATCCAAGAAAGATTTTTCACTACATTTTGTGGAAAGTGATTATTAGCTTGTGAGTATTTTGAAAACATGACTGAAAGATTAGGAAACCATTATTTGCATTTTGGGGCCTGAAAAGCAGATGCCTTTTTGAGTATGCAACCATTTGGGTCCAAAGGAGGTGAAAGAAACACACTTTAATTATTTTAAAATATTAAAAAGAGACAGTGTCTAAATTTATCACGTTTTATGGCCAGTAATGCAGGATTTTTCCAAGAGGAAAATGTACTTTTAGGTATTTCTTCACTATGTTATGTAAAGTACTCTATTTTCTGACAATATAGGCCACCAAGGACAGAATAGAGTGTTGGTATCATTATATTACTAAAGTATGCACACATACTGTTAGATGAAATCTTGTCGATCCTAGGCTTAAATAAAATGGGAATTCTACTTTGGTAGGAGAAAAGGCAACCAACTAGAAAAGGCTTTTTAAAAATGAATGGTAGATCTCTGAAACAGCTCCACAGTTCAAGCTATCAGATTATTTCCCACAGAGATGAATGAACAGGCAGAGAGAAGATGAGAAAGTCAATATCAGCCATTATTCACATATCTTAGCCCTATAGACCATGGTTCTGCTACTCCTATATTTATCACAATACATTTAGTAGTGAGGAATTGCATTCGTGATGGTCACATATGCTGATAGGGGCAGCCCATATGCATCTGCACACGTGCTATATGAACACACTGAATGGTAATAATTGTGGAAGAATCACAGAATCACAGAATTGTAGGGGTTGGAAGGGACCTCCACGGATCATCGAGTCCAACCCCCCTGCCAAAGCAGGTTCCCTACAGCAGGTCGCACAGGGAGGCATCCAGGCAGGTCTTGAACATCTCCAGAGAAGGAGACTCCACCACCTCCCTGGGCAGCCTGTTCCAGTGCTCCGTCACCTCACTGTAAAGAAGTTCTTGCGCATATTTGTGCAGAACTTCCTATGCTGCAGTTTCCGGCCATTTCCCTTTGTCCTGTCTCCACTCACCCTGAAAACAGTCCGGCCTCGCCATTCTGCCCCCCACACCTTAGATATTTATAGACCTGGATCAGGTCCCCTCTCAGTCTTCTTTTCTCAAGGCTGAACAGACCCAGATCACTCAGCCTTTCCTCATAGGAGAGATGCTCCAGGCCCTTCACCATCTCTGTGGCCCTCCGTTGGACTCTTTCCAAGAGACCCCTGTCTTTTTTGTACTGGAAACTAGTACTTTTTTGTACTAAGAAACTGCTGAGTTTTTGTCATTCACTCTGATGAACATTTTACTGGCTGGTAAGTTGCTGATCCATCTCCTGCTGGACTTACTTTCACTTAAGAAGCCTGTAGTCCGCCTCTCACCTTCAATCAACTGTCCGTTTTCATCAAGCAAAGATAGTGAGTTATTTCCTTCTGTTTTTCTTTCATAACATGCCAGAGATGTTTTGGTTTACACCCCGGTACTTCAAAACCATGACACTATCATCCACGGCAAAGCTGTTTTACTGTAGGCAAACCTTGATGTTTTCTTGGCTTTGTGGTTATAATCATTCTGCTCACTAAATTCTGAAGAATGGACTAACAGTTACCAAAGGAAGTTGCTTTGACAGTAAAAAGGCTATAAACGGCATCAGTATTATATTTCAAGCTTGAATACTTCACGACAAATGCTTGTGGCATATAAACTGTATATGATGATACAATGAGAAATTTTTATTGGCATTTGCATAGGAAAGCTGACCTCCTTCCCTCCTGATTTACTAAGTACAAATAATGTGGTTTCCTCAAGCTTGTGCCCATAAGCTTCACTGTGCTACACTGTATGCTTCCTATGATACACATAAATAATGGATGGAGCTGGTTTCAAAGGACCATTACCAGAACCAGAGGCACTGGTCCTCTGGGACAAGGACACTGGTCCCCTGCTTCTGGACTTGAACAGGCAAATACTTCACTGGCAAATGCTTCTGTGGCTCCTCTGGAGCCATACTGGCACATGCATGGCCAAGGTTATCAGCACTGCATCAGCCTCAGTCCAGAGCCCTCACATGCTTAACCAGAACTCACGTAAGTCATATTTCAAGATGCAAGCTGCACCTCTTACATCTCTTACCTTGTTTGGAAAGGGAAACTTGCTTTGCTCTGCCTTCCCTGGTGTGTGAATAGCTGACAGTGGTGGAGGCCATGAATGAGTCATCTCCTGAAAAACAATATTGTACAGCACACTGTATTTAGGAAGTCAGTGGAATAGGAAAAAATAGTAGTATATCACTAGCATGAATAGCTGGGTGGAGGAATATATAAGTTACTGTAACTCCGAGGAAATGCCCAGTTCACATATAATCTAGGCAATACGTGAGCTACATTGATTTTTATCGCAGACTCTTGAGAGCAGTTCTTAAGCACCATTTCATTTTCCTGAATAGTTAATGCATCTTAAGTGCAAGAAGTTTGATTTTTCTGACAATCAGCATCCACGTTTTAATCATAAGATGTATCCTGCCTGGTGAGAATAATAGAGGAATCTTGTTTTTGCAGTATGGGAACAGAAATCTCAGTTTGTGACCAAATAACGAGGTACATCCTATGGATTAATCACAAAATAGATTTCACAGACAAGGTCAGAATGATAAATGTTTAACACTTTGAACTTGCCCAGTGGTTAATTCCTACAATTTTCTTTTTTATATTAAAGGAATTGAATAAGCTCATAACTGCCACTTGTTTGTGCTCTGCAGGTCGTGGCCATGCAACAAGCCCTAAATGAAGTGTGCTGCTCTCCACCTTTGCCTTCTTCCTGTGCATTTTCAAAAGACATCTTTTAATAGCTAAGAGATGCATGGAGTTTAGACTTGTATGCAGTCATTCCTGATCCAGACACAGGTAGCTGGCAGACACACCTTCAATGCTATTACCAGTCAGGGATGGATGAGTTAGTCTCTAAAGCAAGTCTGAATTTGGGAAGGAGGGGGCTAAAGTGTGAATTAAACACTTCAGATAAGAGATGATTTGTTAAGAGAGGAGCTTCATATTCCTGCCTAGTGTAGGCTGTTGTTTTTTTTTTGACATGTTTTTTTGACATGTTCAACAGCAACAGCCATAATATTTGGTACACAGCAACTTAACAGAGTTAATATGAGAAGCTATGTGAAGCACGACAACTCTGAAGAGTCAACCAACAAGTTTCAAGAGCTGAAGAGGAAACCACATCCTCCCTAAGCTACGGGCTCACTGACACTATCAAGAGTTTGCCCAGCAGATGCTCTCCTTTTTTTTTTCTACCACTATTGAACTTCTCAGCAATATTCCAAGGGCATGTGCTGATATCTATGACTGCTCCCAGAATAATACCAGAGTTGTATTTCCATGACTCATTTCTAGTTTGAGGAATGTTCTTGTTTGAAGAAAGATGTGGGTGAATCTATCGCCCACCCTTCGGTAGTGCTGATGGAAGTGCTTCCTGACCCTCCAAGCACTGAGATGGGGCATTTTTCACACAGAAGGAAGTCTCTGCCTCTTCTGCCAGTGAGTGGTTCAGCCCTTTCAAAATAGTTTATTAGTAATAAATGTCACCTTTAAAGCATTCTTGATAAACAGTTTATTTTCTAATAAAAAACTGTATTTTTTTCTTTTATTTGAGGCAAAAAAGTGACATGATTTATTAGATTTCAGTAATCTACGTGGATACCTCTAATCAGAGCATCATCTGGTTTGCAGTTTCAGTATCAGAACCGCTTTGCTTTTCAGTTATTTGAGGTAGACTGTTCATCTTACGACTTGCTTATCTGGTAAGCGGCAGTAGAGTACATTTTAATGTACAGTAAGTTCTTTTAACACAAGCAAGCTGAAACACCGGCAAGCAGTTTGCCATTTGGAAGGGAGCAGACCTATTGCTACAAGTACCTGGCATAAGTGCTATTATTTTCAAAAGATGAATTACATACTGAGAAATATTCCAACTGTAAGAGTTTATGACAGTAAATTGGCAGAAAGCAGAGTTGCAATAGTGACATTTAATCCTAGAGCTGTGATCTAAAAAAGGAGTTGTTTCTCATCCGTTTTTCTCTGTTTCTCTTTCACACAACCATTTCCTTACTTTCTAGAAAATGAAGTGCTGCGTGCACAGACGAAAGGCATTTTCACCTGCAAAGCTCCATTCCCAAAGTGTTTTTCCCAAGAAGCTGAAGCGCTGAGCCCCAAAGCATGTCTAAGAAATAACCACGTGTCCCTTTCTTTTGAAGGGCAATACCTTATGTTACCTCCATCAAGAACTGGGCCAGCCAGACTGGGATGGTAGCATCTAGTGGTTTTGACCTAAAGCCATCCTGCTTGTGAAATACACTGCTCAGTGCTTATGATTTCCATTTGCCCAGGCAGCAGTTCCTGTAGGTTATACTGTGGCTGACCCCCACTGTCACCTTCACGGAAACATCTTCTGAGAGGTCTGCTACGTGCCGTGCAGAAACCAATCTGTTAGCAGAGCTCTTCCCTCCCACCTTGCCTGCCCAAGTCTGACAATGATACCTTCATCCATGGAAAGCATGAGAGGGCTGATTAAAAATAAGGGTGACCTTTCTTTTTGACATGTCAAAATCTTTCATTTCTTCTTTTCTCCAAGATTATTTCTCATCCACACTGCAATGAAAAATGGCTCTAATAGTCTTTTTTTTTTTTTTTTTTTTTTTTTTTTTTTCCAGCTAGCTTCTCTTCCCCTCCCTTTACACTTGCAGTTGTGGTATGTAATAAAGTTTTCTACATAATTTAAATTTAACGTAACCATTTCTGACACAAAGTTGTACTAATATCGCTGATATTTGCCATGGTTAATAATTGCTATTATCATGAATATCTGAATATGATTTTATCAGAGTAATATGACAAATTCTGTTCATGTGATGTATATATTGCCACCATTTGGAATTCAGTCAGTTTAGAAATGAAATCAGATTAGAAATATATATAAATATAAAATCAGAAAGCACTATGTGAAAAATATCCACAAATCGCAAACTGTCTCCATTGAGCAATGGTAAGTTTTAAATCTAGTAAAATATTTTTTGAAAAGAGAAATACTGAACTATGGGCTCAGACTCCTTCTGACTGCCAAGAACAGAATCGCAAAAAATAGGAGAAAAGATTGAGGTTTCCAGCAACTTCAATGGCAGGCAGAAACAAGTGAAGAACATGTTCTTGTGCACCAACTCTTGTGATTTTAGTCTTTATCTGCAATATCTGACACAGATTAAAAGCATGGTAGTATGTGACTGTAACAAGATCTTTTTTCAGTACATAGTGTGAAATACTTGAAAAGGTAAGACCAAGAGGCAACTTGTCTAACTAAACAAAAAGGACTCAACTTTTAGTGTTAAAATAAAACTTCATGCACAGCTTCTCTTTTGAGGTCAGCTACCCTATCTGCCTCTAGTGCTTGGGATTGGCATGGAGCAGCCACTGGACTGAAAATAAGTTTTCAAATGCACTGATGAATGCCACCAAAAATTTAACCCTGCATCAAAAGCGGCTTTTTTTTTTTTAATCATAAACTGAACAAAAAATAATTCTGAATTATCTTGCACTGGATAATGTTTCAGCCATTATAAGATAATGGGCTAATTTTAAACAGATTTAGATATTTCTACCAACTTGATTACGTTAACCTTTGAATCCTGGACAAGGTTAACTAAAGGAACAACTGAAAAGCCATTTGGGGGCCAGAAGTGTGGAAAACAGATTTCCAGATCAAAGAATGAAGTCCTAGCTGGACTGCTTAGATATAAATAGAATCATAGAATCATAGAATAGCTCAGGTTGGAAAAAAACTCAAAGATCATCGAGTCCAAGCACAGCCTCACCATCCTACCCTGACTCTAACAACCCTCTGCTAAATCACGTCCCTGAGCACCACATCCAAACAGTTTTTAAACACATCCAGGGATGATGACTCACCCACCTCCCTGGGGAGCCAATTCCAGTGCTTCACAACCCTTTCTGTACAGAAGTGTTTCCTGATATCCAACCTCAACTTACCCTGGTGCAACTTGAGGCCATTTCCCCTCATCCTGACACCTGTCACCAGTGAGAAGAGACCAGCCCCGTCAGAAGAGAAGTGGATAAATGTGGATAAGCACAGGTGCTCAGTTTCAGGATGGCCTATCTGAGACAGCGGCAGTCACCCTCCTCCTCCTGCTAGCAGATATACCGCAATGACAGGTGGCTCAGATAGGCTGGGATGGTGGAGACCAGCAGAGGTTGCAACTGCAGGGACATGGTGAGCAAGGGGACAGCAGAGGAGGCACCAAGTGGGAGAGACATGCAGATAGCAACAGGCCACAAATCTCAGGAGACCTCTGACTGACCCTTTTTATTAACATGTGCTTCTCCCTGTGAGGGTTACATAGATGTCCCATCTTTGTGGTGGTGGTGTTGGCATGTTTCACTTACACATTGGAATTCTGTGACTGCACTTGCCTCTGCCCATCGTAAATCAGCTTTCAGCAGCTATATGTAAATGTCCAGCTCTGTGAGTTATGAAGGTCTGAGCCCAGTTAATCTCAACCAACACACAAACTTGGCTTTTCTTCTCATGGAAAGGAAAGCCTTCAGATAAAGAAATCTATAGTACTGTGTATCCTTGCTCCACATGTATTTTCTGCAGCGACAATTAAGTAATGAGACATTTCTTGTGGATTAATCACTGCTTGGTAGTGTTTTGTTTGGGGCTTCTAGCCCTAGCTTGTAGGCAATTTTTCAGGAAATGTTCTATTCAGAGGTAAATAATAGTATTTACTCCAGACTGAAGTCAATGCTGTTTTTCTAGTGCTATCAGTCTTGCTGTGTGTTGTATGATTCTAGGAACGGTCGAAGTGATTGAAAAAAATTGTAATTAAAAGCAAGTAGTGAATTCAGTCTCATCTAAATTTAAATTCCTGCCACATGTATTACTCTGTTCATTTGCTGCCACAACCAGAACTTATCATTGGTCCATTAAGAAAATTGACTGTTTAATCCTCTGGTAGTGTGTGTGTTCACCTACCCAATTTTTGATTCATAATATTTTGTCGCTCACTGAGGATGATTTAAGAATTTTTTTTGTAGCATCTCATAAAGGACCCTGTCAAATCCTTTTTGAAAATTATCTTAGCTGGCTCAGACTCATCCGCAGCTCTACTGACATGTCACAGGAATTATAGGGGATTGGTG